TTCTTCTATGTCTGGGGAAATGCATGACCTGTGGAAAGACCATACAACTTTAGGAATGAATGTATAATTTTGAACAATGTTACTTGTAAAACTGATATTTCTTTGAGAAGTGTTAAATTCAGAAAGACGGAAACGAAGAAGATTGATGAAAATGTGTATGTGTATGCATGAAGGTAGGCATCTGTGTCTATGTGTATGCATGTGTTTAGGTCAGTGTAGGTACTGTAGATGTACGGTGTATGTGTATGTAAATATGTAAAGCATCTACTTGTTTTGTATTTATTAAAGGGATACTTCACCTCTGGGAAGATGAATGTGTATTTAAAGGGATAGTTCGGCCAAAAATGATATTTAACACATGCATTACTCACCCTCAAGCCGTTCGAGATGCATATGTCAATCTTATTTCAGACGAACACATTTTCAGTTATTTTAGAAAATGTCTTAGACCCTTCAGTGGATATAATGTGAAGCAATGGGGTCCACCTCCTTCAAGTCCCAAAATGTGCATACATCCTTCACAAAAGTAATCCATCCGGTTCCAGGGGGACAAACGAAGTCCTTCTGAGGGTAATCCGTGCGGTTTTGTCGTAAAAATATACATATTTAAAACTTTATAAATGAAAATATCTGACTTCCGGCAACGATCGACGCGCGTTCACGGGTGATGGAAGTCGGCGTACGAGGTAGGACGCAGCGTAGAAACCGTCATGACGTAGACGTTGTTTTGCTCTGCTCTCTGGCTGCGCAGGCGCGTTCGTTCTACGTCACGACGGTTCCTACGCTACGTCCTACCTCGTACGCCGACTTCCATCACCCGTGAGTAATGCATGTGTTAAATATCATTTTTGGCCGAACTATCCCTTTAATATTGGTCATTTATATAGTAGAAATGTGAAATTATTTTTGAAATTTAAGCATTCTAGACTGAGAAAAGGCAGAAAATTAAAAATTTTTCTCATGTGGCTGAAAGACAACAACTCCCAGAATGCACTTGCTTTGCTGCCCTTACGAGGCCACTCCCAAACCACGCCTACCGGTTACAGGCGGCAGAATCCGAAAATTGGATACAACTAGGCTTGCTTTGATACATCGTGAGTTATTTGATAAATTTCCATCGAAATGGTGCTAAATTGCGTTGTACCGGGATGTACTAGCCGTATATAGGGTTGCCACCTATGTCTGATAAAAAACCTGGACATATCGATGACCTGATCGACCGCTTTGCTCACAAGTCAAAATGTCCATTAGACATTAGACCCACAAGACAAAATTGGCCTTTGTGCAGTAAGATTGTGCATAGTCGTGACTCGTGAATATTTTAAACATCTCAAGTATTCTCACTTATCTTACTTAACTTATAGCTTACCTGATTGCTTAGATACTGGTGCTCGTGCTTGCTTTTGCTCCCTCTTTGCTAAAGAAATAAGTAGAGGGATGACATTAGATTTGCATTTACCATACCTTAGCCACATCTATAGCCACTTTTATTTAGTATGTCTCAATCAGACATTGGAATAACAAAATCATAAATAGATAGGCCTAAGCTTACCTAGTCTTCCATCTATACTTGGCGTTTCCCTTTGCTGCAGCTATCAGTGGTTTCTGTTCTTCAATGAATGTCTTGAATTCAGTGCATGACAATTTGAAATTCAATCTGACCTGAAGCTCAGACTTCACCATTGCAACTGACAGTCTGTTTCTTTTATCGGACCAAACATCCTCCATATGACTGAACACTCTTTCTGCATAGGCATTACTGACTGGTATGGAAAAAACAAAAGCAACTACTTTCAACAGCTCGGTGGATTCAGTTGCCTTGCTAAAAAAATAGGCCCACTTTCTGTCTGGGGTAAGGTCTGTTGGAATGGTGTGTAAGACCTCATTCAGAATGACTACATCACCATACAGCTTGTCTTCTTCAACATCCAGGGCCAGTTTTTCCACTAACACTTCCAACTCTGACCATTGGAGTGATTGTCCTTCATGAAGGCTGAGACAGCCAATGTGTGCAAGAACCTGGTCATTGAAGTCAAATTTATCCTCAAGATACAGCACTGCCTTCTCAAAAAATCTGTCCACCAGGCTCCTGAACTGTTCCTGTTGCTGGGGTAAAAGGCTCCTCAGTATTTGTTTTGCTTTACTGCCATAGAATTTGTCTGTGCGCCTTGCGATCAGCTGACTGTGCAATCTGTTCATCACAGAGTAAACGTCAATCACAGTAGCACTGTCACTCTCTAGCACCCTAATAGATGAATCAAATTCTTGCATCACATTGTGCATGAATGCAAGGATACATTCAGCCACAGTACAGTCTACATTTTCTGCATCACTTGCACCACACACAAATGTCCAGATGATACTTGGGCAGTCCTCCTTTCCCAGGGATACAAAATAAGACTTTAAAGCTGGCCAACACTCTAAAATCCTCTGTATCGCTGGCAGCAAAGACAGCCAGCGTGTGGGGACATGCCTCAGAATCTCCCTGTATTTTGTATTAGTAAATTCACAGAAGTCCTTAAGCAATTCCACTTTTTTAGCAGAACAACTGAATTCACTATACACCTTCAGCACAAAGGCCTCCACGTCACACCCTCCAGCACTAAAGACACGATTAGCTGCTTTTACAGTGTTGTTTATGATGTGACACTTGCAATTGCCCTTCACAATTTGTGGGTTAGCTTCTCTGAGTTTCTGAAAAACTGAGTTGTGCCGACCATAATTAACTGATGCGTTATCTGCACCATAGGCACTGATCTGGCTGACTGAAAGTCCATTGTTCTCAGTAATAGACGCTATTTGTTTGAATATGGCTTCACTAGATTCGTTGGAGTCGTCGTAAAAGTCTAACAATCCATACTTCACACCCTCGGATGCACAGAAATACTGGACTGTGTAGGGAAACAATTTTGTGTGCCCAGAATTGGATGCATCAGAACATACTGCAAAATAGTGCGCTTTCTGCAACTCTGCTGCTAATCTTTGCTGACTAAATGGTGCCAACACATTTTCTATTAAGGCCTCACTTTTAGTCCTGCCACAAGACATTTTAGTTGCAATATCAGAGTCACTGAATATTTTTGCACTGACCTTGTTCCCACAGTCAGTTGACAGGTAGCTATGGCCATGTCGCACACCGTGATAGGTAGCTGTTAATTCGGCGACAGTAATTTTGTCCTCTGAGTTTTTTGAAATCATGAATGATGAAATTGCCTTTGTTTTTCTGGTTACTTGAACGCGACTCTGATGTTTCTTCGTTTTAGCATGGTCATCCAAAGCAGTTTTGCCTTCATGTTTAACCAGAATTTTAACTGAGCATACGGAGCAAGTAGCATATAGTGGATCGCCTGGTGTTTGCTTTAGCCATGTGGAATAATTGTCATTTTTCATCCAGTCATTATTGAAGTATGTCGAACGTTTCATTTTCTTTTTTACTGGCCTGTCAGTCTTTGTTGACACACTGTCATCTTCGTCCTCCGTCTCGCCACCCATGTTAACACTACCAAATGATGTTGACGATGTACAATCTTCTTGACTTCTTCAATTTGCCGCCTGTAGTAACTGGCTAGCTGCCAAGACAGACGCGCTAGATGACGTAGTCTACGTCGCGTCACATGACACACCCGTCCCAGAGCCAATGATAGCGCATTCTACACACAAGAGACACCCTGAGAGTCACCGACCACTCTGTGCACAATGCATAGGCTATTTCAAGTGAGAAAATAGTAAGTTGAACATACATATTCACGTAGCCTTTCGAAAACCGGGACATTCAATGTCCCGGGAGAGTGGATAAATTTCCCGGGACAGGTTATTAAAAAGAAGGACAATCCCGGTAAAACCGGGACAGGTGGCAACCCTAGCCGTATATAACACAACTTAGACTTTCACATTAAAAATATGATGCAAGGCAGGACCATGTCAACAGAGTAGCTTAGTAGCTCTGCATATGAACTGTTTTCCTCCAATTGAAATCACTATTTCTCTAAGCTAATACATTATCTAGGCTAATCCATACTCTAGTAACACTAAAGGTTTATAAAAAGAACCACAACCAATGTGAGTTATAACTTTTAATAAAAAAAATTATTAATATTAACACTTTTACAGTGTAAAGCTCTGCGGATTCAGCGATCTCGTCCAGAAGAAAATGGCATTGCTGAGATTCGCGACAGCAATAGGACTCTATATCTGTTTCCATAGGCACACAGCGAGTGCAGTGACACCGCCAGTCCACCCCAGCTCGAGTCTGGCCGGGCTCAGGTCTCGCTCCGGCCGCCTCTTGTTCCTCCATCTCCCGCAACTGTTTATCACTGTATTGCGGCTCGTACAGGGAGCCGCGAGCATCAGATTCTCGGAACAGATCTTCGAAAGATCCCGCCCCATACGGGCGTGGTGAAAACATGTGGAACACTGGCTGTAGTCTTTAGGCTCTGGCACAAAAATCCTCCGATGACGCAAAATGACGATTTTTGCATCATCGGAGGATTTTTTCCAGACTAAAAATTTATTTTTCTCTCATATCAGGGGGATTTGAGGGGGGGAAGCACGGTAATTCGAAAATAGTACTGGTTTTCTACTGATACAAAGCTTAATGCTAAATCCTGAAGTATCCCAGGATAAACATAGAGAAAGGGGGTAGGACCAGGGTCCGTGTAGTTTTTCGTTCATTCATTATTCTATTTTTGGAAGTGAAATGAAAAACAAAAAACAAGTGGTATTTGATTTTCCTAAAATCTGTAGTCACTAATTGAATGAACATTTGATTTGTTTAATATAATTTAGGATTTAAAAAAATAAATATGAACCCCTTTCTTGTTTCTATGGATCAAATGAATATTAATTTGGATTCATATAAAAAGGGAAAAAGCAAAAATGAGAGAACCTCATTCAAATCAATTCCTAAGGATGGGCCACCTAGTGATGCTGTTGACCTGGAAGAACTATATGACCTGGCAGGGTTAATCATTTTGAATAATCTGATGAGGTAATTGACTAGCATGGCTTCCCTTGAGGCATACGCTGATATAATTAGTGATATGTTGAGAAGGCATGGGACTCATGCTGACATTTCACAGCACCTTACAGATATTGGCGTGGGACGTGGATGCTCTGTGATGAGTGTGCGAAGATTTTGTGATGGTCACAAACTCAAGCGGGGAAAATCTGATGCGCAGTTGGAAGTAGATGTGTCGACTGCAGTTGCCGAGGTAAAACACAGGAAAAACCAAGTTGTCTTTTATGTTGACAGGCTTCTTAACTTAGTTCATCTTCTGTAGACTGGACCGACCTTCGGCAGAAAATTGATGACTGGCTACCTGGCGACTAAAGGAGTTTTTGCTGCGGAGAATCGTGTTGGACGAATTCTATGTGGAATTGAAAGACCCTACCATGAAGCGAGATGCAGGGTAATTTAGGCTATACCCAACTCTCTAATTTGAATATTTTCTGAAATAATTAAGAAACAATGAAGCATCAAACCGAGGCTAACAAACTTTATCAAGTTGTCCTCTGAATAGGCCTAAACAAGTTTAGGTTTAACGGAGTATCAGTGCTCCTTATTAGGTGACCTATGTAGGACATAACACAAGTGTCACTTAAGAACAGAATTACCTTGCCTTTTGAATATTAAAGGCAAAATCTCAGAAGCCCAACATCCATGACCCCTGAAGTGGCTTTACAACCCCACAGGGGGGCCTTTCCCCCCAGGTTAAACACCACGGCACATGCATAACTAAATGTTTTAGCCATGTGAAATGACAGTGGGTGGCAGTTATGAAATTGTCAAATGATTAATCTTGTCAAAATTGTTTCATTTCACATTACAGGGTCTGCGGAACTTTAACCCAGTGCCCTACCATGCTGCCTATATGGGTCATAAACTCCATTTAGATCAAAACGAAAAATTAGCAATGTTTGGGGTGACCCATGTTACTGCAGTGGATGGGTACAGTAGCAAAGTCGTGGCTCATGCAACAATGCCAGTGAAGAATAACCTCACCATTTATGAGGAAGTCTATAGGTTTGTTTTGGTTCTATTACTCTACACATTTGTATTAGTAATTTATTCTGTTTGTTCATCTGAAAGCATAAATAGTATTGTTGTTACCTTTTAAGTGCCATTTTGTGGCATAGGCAAAGACACATAGTCCTCAATTCTGATAAATTATAATGTCTTCCATATGTGACCTGCAATCCAGGGCGGCTGTTGTCAACCACGGGATGTGGGACCAGGTGAGAGTCGACCACGGCAAGGAATTCTACTTGTCTCTTTTTATTCAGGAAATCCTTGCTTCCCATATGCACAATCAGGACAAACCACCATACTGCCAAACCACATCAACAAAGGTAAGACATTTGGAGTTGTAAGTAGACCTTAAAATATGTCATGTTTAGCAATATTAAGACATTCACCCATAACACTTTTTGTGGATTGGATTTTGGCAGTTCTATGAGCCCCTTCATCTTCTTACTGACGCCAATAGATCTGATATTGACCATTTCAAAACAGTTTCCCCCTGAAGCTATGGTTCACTTACACACATTAAAATATGGGGTTGTCTGTTGTTTACTAGAATCATAAAGTTGAGCGGATGTGGCCTGAAGTAAACAACAGGGTCAATTACCCACTGAAGGAGGCTCTGATCAATCTGACTGACCAAGAACTTCTCGACATGGACTGTAACATTAGCAGATACTGTGTGTCTAACTTGACTGGTCAACTTTGTTGTCTTGGTATAAAAAGACTTGTGGATGCCTGGAATGAACACAGAATCCCTGGTATGTTAAAAACCATTTAAAAAGAACATATGATCCAGACACTCTTTATTGGGTGTATTGTACTCATCTGAACAATTCAATTACAGGAAAAGGTGTCCCCAATCAACTTGCAGGGGGTGGGTGCCCTAAACAGGTCTCACAGGTCTTACTGCCTCCGGCACCTGAAGCAGCCAACCTTTACGCTGAGGAACTGGGAGGCACCTTAACAAGAGAGTCGTCATTTGGAACAGACCCCTTTTCAACGGAAGAAGAGAAGGCTACGGTTGAACGTCTTTTTGCTGAAACTTACCCTGACATGGCAGATCTGTTCAACAGCGCAGTTAACAAAAATCTTTCACCTTTTAAAGATGCAGTGATCTATCTTATTAACTTAACTAAAAGACAAGCATAGTAAGGTTATGTATGTAACTATCCCAGTCCTAGGGTTGTATTACTGTAAACATTTAAGTAGCACTATAACAAAACAACGTTTAACTGAACACTGTAACTCAAACTTAGATCCACTGATGCAGCACTTAATCCACTTTTATGATATCCTTTAAGGCTAACAATGCCTCAGACAGACCGGTGACAACAATCACATTGGCTCTGAAGTTTTCCTCTCTACACTTCACACACTGCGATGCATTTTGAAGCCACTGGTCAATGCAGACCTTGCATCCTAGGAGGGATTTACAGCAGGCAGAAAGAACTGGCTCACTCACTGGCCCTGCAAGATAGGCATGAGAGATAAATGAACAAACTCCACTATAGGTTTTGTTGACAGTTTTATAGAGCAGTTTAAAAGTGTAAAATATCTGCATACCCTTGCACACAGTACAGTTGAAAGCAGCTCACACGTGCTCTGCCTGTGCTTCTGTCAAGATGTATGTCACTCTTTCACTAATGGCCAGCTCAGAAAGCGTTTTAATTGTCAAGGTCACCTCCGGAAGACTCTGGGCAGCAAGTATCACCTCTTCTATCTTTTCATAGATGTCCTGCAGGCCTGCAGTTTCATCCTCTTTTCGACTTAAAAGAAAAAAAAAAGACTTAACATAGTCAGATAATTTGTTTTGTGTAATTTAAATGAAGTACTCTGTTTAATATTTAAGGTTAGCTACCTTGATCTTCTTCGTTTGCCACTCTGCAATTCCACAAATTCGTTCTCTGCTACAGCAAGGACTTTGCGGGCATTCTGCTTCCAATAGATGGAACCTGTGGGGTGGGCACAGTCATTAGTACTTTTCAATAATAATAGGAAATGCACAGGATATTCATAATATACAAATGAGGTGTTGACCATTAATGTTGTACCTTCTACAAAATAGAATTGACCTAATAGTGTGTTTAGAATGATTTCAGCAGTGTTTACACTTAAAACAAAGCGTGTTTCCTCTTGGCACTGGGTAATATGCGCGTGTCTTTGGAGGCTTGAGGAAACGGTTACTAGTTAAATGCTTTACAAAATCCAAATAGTAGACTATCATTCATGAATATGTCTGTTACATACTCTTTTCTTTCAAGTATTCTTGATGTCCACTGTTTCTACCTTCATTAAAAAAAATTGACTTTGTTATGGCACTTTCACACAATGTTGGCAGAATTAGGGGATTTTACACTTTTCAAATAGGGGATTTTACACTCAAAGCAGCAAAATGACTTTGCATATAGGCTATACATAATAAAATGAGGATTCAGCCGGAAAAAAAACCCACTAATACCATTTTGATAACTTTTGATTTGATACAAATTATAGTTGGATCTTTAATGTGCACAATGTTGAGTTTATTCTGTGTGTAGGGTTAGTTAAATAGTTTGGACTGTAGATAACAGAAAACATGGGGAAGTGGAAATATGACTTTGTTTAATTAAAATACTTTTTAAAAGGTTAAAGGATGGTATGACGTGATTCCACTGGTTCTGTGGAGGTGTTTTCATTATTAGTTTGTAGGGATTTTTTTTTTTTTTTTTGAATTTTAATTAGATTTGAATGAAGTAACTCTCTGGCCTGGATCTCCACTTTAAGGAATTGGGTTCCAGCCAATTATAGCTGCAGTTATGTAAGAGGATTCAGCAACAAAAAAACAAAAAAAAACATTCAAACCATTTTGATGAGATCTATAGTTGGATCCTTAATGTGCACATGTTGTGGCAACCTGTTTACCTTGTTGAGTTTGTTCTATGTACATGTAAGGGTTATTTAAACAGATTCCACTGTAGATAAGAACAGAAAACATGAGCATAAATGTTTAGTTCTCTACACATTGCAATTCAAAACAAATAAAAAAAAATTACTGTACCTCTTGTTCCCTCAGAATCAAGAATTTCGTTCCCCTGTGCGTCTGTGAGCATTAACGGGTCATAGCTGCCAAGGGCATCTTGGACTTTGCTGAGTATGCCCTGCACAGTGGCCTCACTCTCCATGAAACGGATCACCACCATTCTGCTTGGTCTTAGTTTGGCATTCACCAAGTCTGCAATGAATATAGATCTAGAATATATCCAAAAGAGTGAAAAAAATACAATATGACAAACTATAGTCTATTCTGTGCACAACCTTATAACATTTAGCAAATATTCACAGAAAAAGTATACTAAAGAAGAGAGACAATATGACCAGACATCTTGGGAGTAAAATATGTGTAGCCTAGTGTTTTCAAGTTCAATTAAAACAATAAATGAAACTCAACATACCTCTGAAAAGAGCGAGTCATCTCCACGGCTCTTGGAGGTGCAGAGGCAGCAGGTGAACCAGCAGCAGCACTTGGGCGTGAAAAAGAGAAGCGCTGGGTGGCGCCTGCAAACGGGGTTGGTGAAGGCGCCGGCGGTGGTGCTGTGCTGGCATCTGCAGTTGCAACTTCTCCGTTAACTTCGTAATGAGCACGTGATGTTAGCTCAAAGGTGTTGAAGCTTCCCGTCGATGATGGGAATATGGCCATGTTCGACTCATCCATTAAATAAAGGCTTTGTGCTGATACCTACGTTGTTAATAAAAAATCAAAGTTATGTTTTGCTAGCATGTAGTCGGGCATAATAGCCATCGTAAATGTTTCAGTGTGTAAAAAATCCATTTTAAAACTATTAACCTAGCTATGTAAGATCAGCAGGATCTTCAGGAGCTAGCATAACGTTAAGTTACCTAAGCTAGCTCGGCTAGTGAAGATCAGCAGTAGCTGGAGCATGTTAGCAAAAATCAATGTTAAACAGTCTTACATCTAAAATTACCTGGAATTACCTATTCTTCCAATTTTGTCCTGCGTCCAGGGGCGGATCTACCGGGGTGGCATAGGGTGGCAAATGCCACCCTAAAAGAAAGCCTTGCCACCCCTGCTGCCACCCCAGTTGGCAGCAACGAATTGAAAGTTTTGGCCAATTTGACAATTTACGAACGCAAATCTCCAATGTCCGACTGCAGTGAATTCGCTCCGTGCATAATATGACGACCGTTGACGTTCGTACTTTTTTGTGTGGGCAAATACTTCCGGCAAAAACTTCCGGTGATCTGACCGCGAGAGCGGGAGACAGCGAGAGCAAGAGACAACAGCGACCGAGTTCCATTACCAGAGAGATAAGTTTTCAACCCGACCAAATTTTTAAATGCATATCATTTTCAGTGTATTTCACCTGTGCGTTTCTATGCTTTATATTACTGCATTTATTTTGTGCAAGTGAGATGAGTAAAGAACATCTGTTTCATATATCATTATCTGTCTGGTGTTTATAAGCAGTAGCCTACAGTATTTTACTACGTGTAAAATATACACAAACTTAGCTATATTAAGTTGTTTGTGTACAGTTAAAAATATAAATGTAAAATATGTGATAATAATATTGATCGAGCAATTGATGTAAGTAAAAATACATGCGCAGAATTAAGAAAATATTATTTAATATTTATGGAGATAAATTTTAGCCTATCATAAAGCAAACGTGTGAATGTTCACAGGGTATTTTATTTAACAACTCTAATCGTAGTTGTAACTCTATATTTACAGTAGGCATAATTGTCATTGCATATGTACTGTATGCAGCATGAGTCCAATACAATCTTCTGTTCGTGAACAGTTGTATTTCATTCATTAATCTGACTAACGTTATGCATCCGTGCATTTAATTGCCATTGGCTCGTGTGATAGTAATATGGATCTTAGTAGTATTTAAATGATATAATTGATTCTTGTTGGGTGCTCAACAAAATAATATATATAAAAAAGGGAAAAAAGGTCGGCACACCTTGGCTCCAAAAGTTAAACGCACCCCTGCCTTTATACTCACACAGGGCTGGACTGGCCATATTATTATAACTATTATTATATAGTAGTGTAATTTAGACAGACACCATATCACAACTAAAAAGAGTTTTGAGTTTTTCTTTGTTCAATTTGCACACTTAATATGGGTTGGAGCTCTTTATTTTGAACTCTCAAAGAGCACCAGATTGATGAATTTAACATTAAAAAGCACAACATTTTCTTACGGGGGAGCATGCCTTCGAACCCCCCTAGAGGGACAGAGGTACACTCACCACAGATTTACCAAAATCCAATGGGAAAAACCGGTATTGCTATCCCAATGCAGCTTATAGCTTGTTTTAGGATTCATCACTGTGGAGTATATAGTTCAACTTAGTAGTTATTTCATCTGTTAACTCTTACTCAGTGGTTTTTATAGGAGTTGGTATACATATTCAAGGGAGTGCAAAGTTCGGTTGTGCTTATAATTATATGTAGTGGGCCAGTCTGGGCCAAAATGCCCGGGCCGATTTTTTGTCCCAGTCCAGCCCTGTACTCACAGGTGACCCCAAACCCCCCCCCCCCCCCCCCCCCCTCAAAACAGATACAAATAATGCCCTTTTGTAGTGTGTATACATACGATTTCTCATCAAACTGTGTTAACTGTGATTAAATTCAGTATATATACGTCTGCCATGTTGCCACTCCTCAAAAATTCCTGCCCCCCTCTTGCCACCCCATAAATATTTTTCTAGATCCGCCCCTGCCTGCGTCATATCATCCTCTCTCATATTGACCCTTTTGTTTTCTTTAAAGAGAATATAATGGTCCATGGTAGCAAGCTCACAACACTTCAAGCAGTTTGGCTACGATCTCAGAACGATTGAGTTCGATTAAAGCAGTTCAGCCACTTCCGGGTCAAAACAGGTGTCAGAAAATTAAAAAGTCAAAAACTACAAAATAAATGTTTTATTACCTATTAGTTATTTTGTATTATAGTTTTAAACATTATATAACTACAATGTATTATGAAAGCAAAATAAAGCCATTTCTGTTTTTTTTTTCCTCTTTTTCATATGAATCAGAAAACCAAACTGACACCTTTTCCAGAATTTCATTTCACATCCAAAATAGAATAATGAATGAACGGAAAAGTACACGGACCACCAGAAAAGTTGGTTTTTGAACTTCTTCCTACTCCTTTTTTAACATGGGAATTTCTTATTTGAAATACTTACAATAATTTTGGAAGCTTGTGCTGATAAGTCCATGTCCTTATTTATCTGTGATATTAATTGTATTATATATATGTATGTATGTATGTATATCTATATCTATCTATATATATATATATTCTTTCTTGTTTTTATTTACACGTTCAAATAAACTACTACTATACGTCTGACAAGTTCATAAGTTCATATACCTCACATAAAGCCTATCTTAGTTGGGTGTGTATACAGACCTCCCAGTGCTAATACTCAGTATTAGGATGACATATGTGAAATGTTTGATGCTGTTTGTGATCAAAACAGAGAGATATTTATTTTGGGTGATTTTAACATTGACTGGCTGACACCAAACTGTCCAATGTATAAGAAGCTTAAATCTACAGCTACAATATGTGGCCTAAAACAAATCATAATCCAACCCACTAAGGTTGTTACCAGTACATTGGTGTTATCTGCAACATGTATAGATCATATATTTACAAACGTTTTTGAACAATGTTCCAAAGCAGTCTTCTGTGCCCACTGGTTGTAGTGACCATAATATCATAGGAGTCACAAGGAAAACTAAATTGCCTAAAGGTGGCTGTAAAATAATTCATAAAAGAACTTATAGATATTTCAACCAAGAGCAGTATGTGGGTGAAATTCAAGGTGTGGACTGGTCAGAAGTGTGTGAAGATCGTGACCCTGACTTAGCCCTTAATAGGTTTATGGACATACTAATGAAAATAGTGGACAAGCATACTCCTCTCAGAAAAAGAGCTGTGAGAAATAAAAGTGCCCCTTGGTTGGACAAAAATCTTAAAAATGTAATGATGTCTAGAGATAACGCTAAAACAAAAGCTAATATTTCTTGCGAACTATTTGATCAAAAACAATACCGAACTCTTAGAAATAAAGTAGTCAAAATGAATAGAAAGAAGAAAAAAGAGTACTTCCAGGAAAAGATTAATGAAGCAAAAAATGATGGTAAAAAACTATGGAACACTTTAAATCAAATAATGGGCAGGAGTAAGCACTCAGCTGCTTCATATGTTGAAAATGATGAACAAGTGTTCATTACAGATCCAGAGGGAATTGCTAATTATTTCAACAATTATTTTATTAGTAAGGTAGAGAAATTTCGATCCGGTATGTGTCCAAATATCTCAGCATCTTATGATGCAATATTAAGTAAGATAATGAGTGAGAAGAACCATTCTGTCACTTTCTCATTCAGTCAAGTTGACAGAGGTTCTGTTGAAAAAATTCTTGCAGCTCTTCCTGATGGAAAGGCATCAGGCATGGACCATTTGGACTCCAGGCTTATCAGGGTGGCAGCTGAAGCTCTGTCTTTTCCTATTGCTCATTTGGTCAATTTAAGTTTGTTGCGGGGCAAATTTCCAGAGAAATGGAAGGAGGCTAAAATTATACCACTGCCTAAAAATAAAAGAGCCACATTTACAGGACAGAACAGCCAACCTATCAGTCTATTACCTTTACTCAGCAAAGTTATGGAAAAGATTGCGTTTGAGCAAGTTTATGAATATTTTGTTTCTAATGGGCTGATCACCAAGTACCAGCATGCATATCGAAAGGGTCACTCCACATGTACTGCTTTAACTCATACGACCGATAACTGGTTACAAGAAATCGATGCAAACAGATTAGTAGGAGCAGTGATGTTGGATTTCAGTGCAGCATTTGACCTGATAGATCATAAAATACTGCTTCAAAAATTAGAATGCTATGGCTTTACACCTTCGTCTCTGTCATGGATGGGGAGTTACCTATCCAATAGGAAGCAGCGGGTGTTCTTTAATGGTCAATATTCATCTACTAAGACAATACATTGTGAAGTGCCCCAGGGTAGTTGCCTTGGGCCTTTGCTTGATCTTTACAAATGATTTACCTTTTTTTGTGAAACATTCAACTGTTGTTATGTATGCAGATGATTCCACACTGTACTGTTCTGGAGAAACTCCTCAATATGTCTCAAATCTATTAAATCATGATTTGCAGAATATAAGCAAGTGGGTAAAAGATAACAAATTAGTTTTAAATGTAGACAAATCAACATCTATGATATTCTGGAAAAGATCAAAACTAATTACCCAGCCCACTCTGAACTTGTCAGTCAATGTGCTGCAGCTAAGACAGGTGATGCAAGCCAGGTTACTGGGAGTCACCTTGGATTCTTACTTGTCTTGGTCAGCTCATATTGATGGAATGATAGTTAAAATGGGGAATGGTATTGCAATGTCCAGAAAATGTATGTCATATATTCCTATGTCCATTGCTAAACAGGTTGTTCAGTCTCTTGTTTTGTGCCATTTAGAAAACTGTCCAATTATATGGTCGTCTGCATCACAAAAAGACCTTCGTAAGCTTCAAGTGGCACAAAAAAGGGGAGCGAGGACTGTCCTCCAGTGCTCTCTTGACACTAACGTGGTCCTGATGCATAAATGCCTTTCTTGGCTCACAGTTGAAGACAAAAATTAAACTACGATTAATTTTAATATTGTGGAATGCAGTTTTTATGAAACAGCCACAGTTTCACTCTGAGCAGATTGTTTTTGTAGGAAGTAGACACCTATATGCCACCAGGCAGGCATTAGGCGGTGACATAAAACTTTCGCTTCCCAGGACAAATTTTCTGAAACGCACATCACTTTATAGAGCAATATCTA